ACATTGGCATCTCTTATGTTCTTATGTTATGTTCTAGGGTTGATGTACGTAAGGGAGTGACACCTCTTGGGGAAGGGGTGAGACAAGGGAAGGGGGAAGAAGGGTTGCTGTCACTTTAATGATTCTATGCTTGACATGGGCATTATCTTGATGGGTGGCAGGGAGGCTCCAGCGCATCTTTTGTTTCTGGGCGGGCAACAGTCTTTGTTTGAGGATGACGCAGGGGGAGAAGGAATGTGCTACGTGATGGAGAAGTGATCCCTTCATGGCTTCTGTGCAGGAACATCTGGCACGTGTCAGAACACGTCTCCTCTCTGGTCTGCTGCTGGGTCTGTGTTCATGGAGACCGGGGCTGCTGGTTTGCATCATGGTCCTTGTGCAGATACAGGGTGTAGCATGGGAATAGCCTCCTGGCTCTGGAATAGGGAGCGGTAAAACGCCTGCTGGTAACATCAGTGAACAGCTGTTACAGCTATTTGAGACCCACCGCGGCCGAGGTGAGCTCCTGGCCCTAGTCCCAGCTCCCGCCCACCCAGCGGTTCGAAAGCAATAAATATAAGCGAGTAGATTAAGGGTACCTGCCCTTAGGTGGCAGGGGGCACCCTCCCCGTACAGAGGTGTGTGGCAGGAGCACTGGAAGCGGCAGCGGTGACGGTGGAAATGGCGGAGGCGATGGAAGCGGTGTAGCATTGGAGCAGCAGAGCGAGGCAACTGGAGTGATGGAGGCGGAGACAGAGGCGGAGCAACAGAAGGACGTGGTGACGTGACGCAAGCACAGCGGAGCCACAACGGACGTTAGCTGGGCTGTAAGTCAATACGACCCACACACTAAGACGAGCCCGCCAAACAAAAGAGAGAAGAAGCCGCCAGACCAAACAACAACTCCAGACGCCAGGAACCGAGCACTGACACCCGAAAGACCGCCCAGGAAGAACAACCAAGGAACAGCGAGCCCTGCCACCTGGGTGCCGGTAGGCAGCCCCAACCCCTGGAGATATGTGGCCTTAGTTAGGGATAAATTCAGAACTTGTAAATCCGGAACTTGTAAACCGCTCAGAGACCCTTCGGGGTTGGAGCGGTGTAGAAATCGAAGATATAAATAAATAAATAAATAAATAAATGGGCAGAAGTCCTCTGTAGTCCCAGGTCCAGATCTGGCTTGGCATGTGTCTGTGGCACAAGGCTGCCCTGTCCACAGTGTACAGTCCATAGTCCATCATTGGGCACTCCGCTTAGGACCACAGCTCTGTCTATTGCCCAGGCACCCAATTCACAGTCCAACAAAGCATTGATAGAAAAAGAGTCGCTTTCACAGTGCCCTCTGGAACGGCTTCTTGGCAACACCCAGAGTCAGCCCTGCTCCGCTGGTGAGTTAGCTGCCTGGGGCCAGCCTCTAAGCAGCTGGTGGCACGTTCACCACACTGGGTCACTGGGAAGGTATTTGTGCATTTCCTGCATTGTGCAGGGGGTTGGACTAGATGACCCTGGAGGACCCTTCCAACTCTGTGATTCTATAATTGTGCCAATTAATTTTAATGCAATAATGCCAACAATTAGCTTTCCAAGTCCAGTCGTTTTTGTACTTTCCGAAATCCCCTATAGACAGCAACAGCATTCAGGAGTCTTGTGGCACCTTAAAATCCTAAGGTGCCACAACTGTTTAAAGGTAAAGGTTCCCTTGCTCGAAAGCCAGTCGAATCCGACTCTAGGGTTGCGGTGCTCATCTCCGTTTCAAAGCTGAAGAGCCAGCGCTGTCCGAAGACGTTTCCGTGGTCATGTGGCCGGCATGACTAAACACCAAGGCGAACGGAACGCTGTTACCTTCCCACCGAAGTGGTACCTATTTATCTACTTGCAATGTCTTGCTTTCGAACTGCTAGGTTGGCAGGAGCTGGAACTAGAGACGGGAGCTCACTCCGTCATGCGGCACCCGGGTCTCGAACCGCTGAACTACCGACCTTCCACAGCCTGCAGTTCAGCGTCTTAACCACTTGAGCCACCGCAGCTCGCCACAACTGTTTACATCGGCTGCAAACCCACCCCTCCGGAATTAACATCCATAACCGGAGCTTTTGGGAAACAAGCACTGAATCAGGGATACACAGATTTCAGATAAGATGAGTTTATCTGGAATGGGTTCCCTCTGCTCTCAAAATCTGTTTCATCTCTAAATGGCGGAGGAATTCCCTGGTTCAGATCTCACGGGTCTCCCGTGCTTACTCAGTGGCCTTCAGCAAGCCGCTCTTTCAGCCTTCCATCTACAACAGGAAGATGATTTTACAGTACTGGCCTACCTCTCTGGGGTTGTGAAATAATGTATGCATTTGCAAACTCAGAATCCTATACAAAATGTTCTTACTGTAATGAATATTTTCTCTTTCCAGTATGCAGTTTTTGAGACTCCTGATTTTGTGTGTAAAGAACATAAGAACATCAGAAGAGCCCTGCTGGATCAGACCAGTGCTCCATCCAGTCCAGCATCGTGTCTCACACAGGGGCCCACCAGTTCCTCTGGAGGGCCAGCAACAGGGCACAGAGGTGGAGGCCTTCCCCCGATGTTGCCTCCTGGCTCTGGGATTCAGAGGTTCAGTGCCTCTGGATGTGGAGGTTCGCCTCCGCCACTATGGCTGGTAGCCGTTAATAGACATCCTCCATGAATCTATCTTATCCACTTTTTAAAGCTGATAAATGTGAATGCAGTGATTAATTTCTGTAAAAGACAGAACGGAGCAAGCCTTCCATTTGCCTGACAGCCAGAGCTGGCCCATCCACTAGATGGACCTAGGCCATTGTCTAGGGTGCTGGGGCAGGGTGGGGCACCGAAAGAAGCACAGAGCAGTTCCAGCCATGACAAGTGGCAGCCCCAGGTGGCACCACTAGCCTTGGGTTGCCAGCCTCCAGGTTGGGCCTGGAGATCTCCTGCTTTTACAACTGATCTCCAGCTGACAGGGATCAGCTCCCCTGGAGAAAATGGCTGCTTTGCCCCGAACCCCACCCTCTCCTGGATCCACCCCCAAAGTCTCCAGGTATTTTATAACCCAGACCTGGCAAACCTGCACTAGCCGCAGTTGTTGTTGTTGTTGTTCAGTCACACAGTCAAGTCCGACTCTTCGCAACCCTATGGACCACATCACGCCAGGCCCTCCTGTCTTCCGTCGTGCTCCGGAGTTTGCTCAATTTCATGTTCGTTGCCTCTATGATACTGTCTAGCCATCTCATCCTTTGCCGTCCCCGTCTTCTTTGACCTTCAGCCTTTCCCAGCATCAGGGTCTTCTCCAGTGAGTGCTCCCTTCTCATTTGGTGGCCAAAGTATTTGAGCTTCAGTCTTGAGCTTCAGAGCTTGAGTCTCTGGCCTTCCAGGGAACAGTCAGGGTTGGTTTCTTTTAGGATTGACTGATTTGATCTCCTTGCAGTCCAAGGGACTCTCAAGAGTCTTCTCCAGCACCATAGTTCAAGAGAATCTATTCTTCAGCGCTCGGCCTTCCTTATAGTCCAACTCTGGCAGTCATACAGTACTACTGGGAATACCATCGCTTTGACCATACGGACTTTTGTGGGCAGGATGATGTCTCTACTTTTTATTATGCTGCCTAGGTTTGCCATCGCTTTCCACCCAAGGAGCAGGCGTCTTTTAATTGCATGGCTGCAGTCATAGCTGCAGTGCCGCTATCCAAATACACCACATGATCACCAGTGGCGCTGGAGGCCAGGATGTGCTCACCGGGCCTCCCTTCTCATCCCTACCCACCAGCCCCCTGATGGAAGGAGGAAGGAAGGAAGAGCAGGCGGGTTCCAGCTTCACACCTCTCGGCTAGAGGTAGCAGCAGTGGCTCTTTTCCTGCCCAGCCCTGTGCGTGCCTAGGTTGCAGCACAGTGGTTCCAAGCAGGCCCGTAGCTAACATGGGGCCCACGGGGCCCGGCCCCCTTGTGTTTCTTCTGGGCCTCCCCTCCAGGGCTGCCCCCAAAGTGCTCCAACTTACCACCTGCACTGTACTTCCATTTAATTAGCTGGCAGGGCCCCCCAAGGCCCCCTCCCAAAGAATTCCCTAGCTACGGGGCTGGTTCCAAGCACACCCAGGTTGTATCAGGGAAGTACCCCATCACAGTGGGGTGGCATACCCCCAAAGTGCAACTTCCTAATGGTCGATGTGTGGCCGCTGACTCTGGGTCCCTCAGCGAGGGAGGGAAGGGGAAATGTTTCCATCCACACATGCTCAGAGGCACTCTACTTTCGCACGTTGTGGTCCAGGGCTGACGCCTGGCATGGAAGATATATCCTGGGTGCAAAGGAACATTTGGGAGATATGATCTGAAGGGCAGGACACAGCCCAGGATGTAGCGATGGGGTTTGCTTCCAGGAGTCTTGAAAGAGAATAGCCATATAAATAATCTGACATTAGAGATTATAACACTGGGCAAATAGTGGGGAGGCAGCGTTCCTTCTAAGCTGAGTTAGTGTGAGCTGGCTCACAGTTTTTGAGCCTCCAGCTCACACAGTTTTGTCTCGGCTCAGGAAGGAGGGCTCCAGAGCAAACTAATTGATGGAGCAGCCAAATCGCTCGCTCACAACTTTAATGCCAGTAGCTCACAAAGTAGAATTTTTGCTCACCAGACTCCACAGCTTAGAGGGAGCATTTGTCGCCGTGTTAGTCTGCCTGCAGCAGCAGAAAAGAGCAAGAGTCCAGCAGCACCTTAAAGACCGACAAAATATGTGGCAGGGCAGGAGCTCTCCTGAGTCACTGCCAGTGTTCCCTCTAAGCTGAGTGAGTGTGAGCTGGCTCACAGTTTTTGAGCCTCCAGCTGACACAGTTTTGTCTTAGCTCAGGAAGGAGGGCTCCAGAGCAAACTAACTGATGCCGCGGCCAGATAGCTCGCTTACAACTTTAATGCCAGTAGCTCACAAAGTAGAATTTTTGCTCACAAGACTCCACAGCTTAGAGGGAGCACTGGTGGGAGAACACTTCCATGTCCCGTGACATTCTGGGGCACACCTCGGTGACACTGTCCCACAAGAAAAAACATTTGCACCAGAGCTCCCGCATGGGGCTACTGAGTTGGGATTTGTTTGCACATGCGCTCCCATACATGCTAAATAATGCCGTCTCAATCCACTTTGGCAACCGTTTACAAATGAACTTTGCCATTTCACACGGTAAAATCTAGCTGCAAAGTGCATTGAAAGTGGTTTGAAAGTATGCTATTTAGTGTATGTGAAAGGGCCCTCTGATGTCTGTGGACCTGGGCCACGGCAGAGACTGCCACTGCCTGCAGCAAGGAGGGGTGCAGGTTCCAGTAGTGGCTGCTGCTCATTGTAGGGTTGCCATACCCCTCCCCCCGATGGGGGTGGGTTTTTCCCCACTTTCAGGGGCCCCAATCCGCCACCAGCCAGGGCCGGCCCGAGGTTATCCTGAGCTCTAGGCGAGCGCAGATGCCAACCTCCCAGAGGGGCCTGGAGACCTCTCCGCCAGAACCAGGCTGGGAGGAGGGTCACCCAGCCGCCATTCGCCCCCCCCCCCCCGTTGCCACCACCGCTCGCTTC